GGGCCAAAAAAAATATCTGTTCTGCACCATATCTAACTTTCTCATCTTGTAGTTGTCCAAAATCACCCTAGACAAAGAAGACTTTCATAGTTGGAAGGCTTTGGGTGGCACTAATTTCCTTCATATGCTTTGAATAGGACCTGTTACTCTTCAATTCAATAAATATTTAAGTGCCTACTGTGTTCAAGACAAAAGTACAGGCTGAATTTTGAAATGTTCTTCCTACTCACTCACACCTCTTGGAATCCCCAACTCCTTTCAACATTCAATTCAAATGCCACCTATAAAAGGCCTTTACTGATTGCTCTATTTCTTAGTGTCTCTCTCTTCCCATTCTACCCTCAAGATTTTACCTTGTATTTATTTTATATGCATGTTATAGTCATTTATCTCATACTTTTACAAATTTAGAGCTAGAAGACACTTCGGAGGTTGTCAAGTTCAACCTCCCTTTATAGATGAGGAAATCTAGGCTAGAGAGTGACTTGTCTAAGATTACATAAGTAGCAGAGCTGAAATTTGAACTCAGGTCCTAGAATGCCAGATGCAAAACTCTTTCCTAGTGGTATTCTCTATGTGCATGTAGGAGAACCCTAGTATGATGAGAATTTCTTGGGGGTAAGGCCTATTTCATCTCCATGTTCTCCCCCAGCACATAGCATAGCACACAACAGATGATTAATAAATCCTTGTTGAATTGAATTTTTTAAAAAGTCCTGCTTCAAACAGTTTACATCCTATTCAATCTAACACTGTGTTAATAAGTTCAATCTTCTACTATTTAGTTTGGCTTCTCATAAGCAAAGTAGGCCTAATTCTCTAGAGATCATATCCCTTTCTTTTGGACAGCAATGTAACCCATATATCATCATCCTGCTACTGATGACACTGCCAGCCATCTGTATTCAACCTGGGTTTGAAGGACTGGCTCAGGGCTATGTAGTTTTCCACTGTGGCATGGTTTCTGGAGGAAATCCCAGATTCTCTCCCACACTTTCCTGTGTCAGAGGCCCTACCCCTTTGAGTCACATGTTTCCTCCTCGCCATCTATAAGGATCACCATTGTCTCTAATGCATGAAGTACAGGGCCATATTGCTTCTTCCTGACCTAGTCTGTACATTGAACTCATGGTTGGCCAAGGCAATGGTCCATCTTTGGCTGACAGCATGCAATTTGCCACCCGTTAGGGTATAGATCAATGAAGTATTGATCTATACCTGCAACTGCACTTTATTCAGTTTCAAGACATTTCAGTGTCAGCCCGCTTAAAAGTAAAAAGCTCAATCTGGGACAAAAACTGCTTCCAGTCCATCCTGCCAGGCATTTGAATGTAATGCAGAGGGTTTTTTCAGATAGACACATACCAACAGTTGGAGGCATTTAATTGTGTAGTTGAAGGCTTGGTCACAATTTTCATTCCTATAATCTCCAAAGCATACCAAGGGATACACCTTTGATTGGGATATCATTCCCATACTTCCCTTCTACATATCCATGGATGAAATTGTTGTGGGACTTTACAATGACACATACCTCATTTTGAACAAATCTCTAGTAAAAAACAAACAATAACAAAAAAAAAACCCTCCAGAAATGTCTTCAATTCACAGTAATTCTTTGGATATAGCCAGATAGTGAGTGCTTGTCTCCTGGAGTCAGTCCTCACTCCCTTTTGAAATACTTTGTGACATCTCCCTAAGAGCAACAAAAATACTATGGGACAGACATATTTAACAAATGCTTAGCAAAACTGATACTTTTTAATAACTGTCTTCAGACCAGTAATCTCCAATCTATCTAAAACCTTTAACAGTTTTTCTTTATGTTCTTTTCATTTTTTCCCCCTTAATCTTGAACATGAGCAGCTAGGTAGTACAGTACATAGAACGCTGGGCCTGGAGTCAAGAAGACCTGAGTTCAAATTTGTTCTCAGACACTTACTAGATATGTGACCTTGGGCAAGTCACTTAACCCCATTTGCCTTAGTTTCCTCATCTGTAAAATGAGCTGGAGAAGGAAACATCTAACCACTCTAGTATCTTTGACAAGAAAACCCCAAATGGAATCATGGAGAGTTGGACATGACTGAAACACAGCTGAACAACAATTGTTAGAGAGGGACGTGATCAGCCACACCTGAAAACCAGCCCATTTTCTCCAGCTACAGCTATCACAGCTTTTATATTACCCCATCCCCCTCCTTCTTTTGGGGTCTCAATAAATATGGTCTTTTCAATCCCTTTGAGGTCACTGAACTGAGGAAGGACAGTCCAACCCATTTTATGTTAATAAACAGTTATCTTGCCTGGAAATCTTGCCTCAGTTGACATTTGTTGTGATTTTACTTGCCATAGTGTTTTTGGGGCGGGGAGGGGCTCATTCAGAATTGGCCATATAGGGGCAGCTAGATGGCACAGTGGATAGAGCACTGGCCCTGAAATCAGGAGAACCTGAGTTCAAATCCAGCCTCAGACCAGACACTTGACACTTACTAGCTGTGTGACCCTGTGCAAGTCACTTAACCCCAGTTGCCTAAAAAACAAAACAAAACAGAATTGGCCATATAACCCAGATGGACCATCCTTTAGACCTTATGGACCATCCTTTGAAGGGAATTCTGTTTACTTCAAGGAATATCTTCCCAAATAGGATTAGGAAAATAATCTATAATCCCCTTGAAAGAATTTTGTAATTTGTTTTTTTTTCCTCAAGGAAGACCCCCAAAATAGGGCTCACACCATTTTTGGTGCTCTGCCAACTCCGAAGAATTAAGAAAGCTCTATATTTTCAGCTGGAGAGAGGCACCATGTGCTTCTATCACTCTTCTTCAAAGCCTGGGAAACTGAGGGGACCTTGTCTTCCCCTAGCCAGGTTGGGGAATAACTAAAATACAATGCAATTGATTTATATCCCACTATTAGCTCCATTCTGTTTTAGATGTGACTATTCTATAATACCTTAACTGTTTCCTTATATGGTGCAAATTGGGAACCACTGTATTAACTCTCTTTGTGTTCTGTGAAAATTCTCAAGGACTTTGGCCTCACAAAGGAGGGCCATGCCTTGCCACCACCAGACCAAACTCCTTAGAGCCTTTTGCCTGGGCCAAAAATCCTACTATGCTATCAGTCATCCATCTGGAATATTAGAGTGAGAAATTTTAACAGCAATGGCTTATAACATATATCTCAGCATATTCTGAGCTAACCTAATCCTAACAGTTGTGAAATTTAAATGGGGAGAGACTTTTATGTATTTCCTAGTACTAGTAAAATTGATTGCATGCTTATAGTGTGAAACTTGAGAGCACTAACACTACAAGAAAAAAAATTAGCTTCACTTGTAATCTGCATACTGTTAGGCTATAAACTCAGCTGTTAAAGAAGTGTCTAAAAGCTGCTATTTCATTAAGTGTATTTTATTTCATTAGGATTATAATAATGACTTCAAAAATGTCTTTATAGTTTTATCTGATAGGATGTTTGAGACGTGCTAGAATGGGAAAGCTTACAAGTTAGATTACATTAAGAAGTTCCACCTAAATTTATTTTACTTTATTAAATTCACATCTTAACTTAGTAGCAAAAACTCTAAACCTACAGAAACCAAATGCTCTTCTAGAGGTTTGGAGTACAACCATTATATAAACTTAAAAAGTGCTCTGTGGCACCAACAGTCAGCCTTTCTGGCTTTTAGTAAGCCTCTCATTTTAATAACAAAGAAGCGTAGCTCCAGGTATTTTGACCCAGCTCTTTAATCCTTCCACCCATCCCCTCAACTGACTATTCTAGCTGCAGGGGCTGTCTTATATCTTGTGAAACTCCAAAATTTGACTACTGAGGAAATTAAATCTCCTGTTATGTTACTAACACTCCTTGACAAAGTTTATGGGAAAGTAATAATTTATAGGACAATTGTAATTATGAAAATTATGAAATTATAACTGGAATGGTATATATTGAAGTTACCAACCTAACTTTAACAGACTCCAGTTTTAGGCATTTAATTGAAAGGTCAACAACATGAGAGTATTAACTCAATCCAGCCCTAAGGTATGATTATTGAAACTTCCTATTAAAGATTAAATATTAGGGGACTATAATTGATATCATTCTGAGTTTGATTCCAAGTATGATTGCCCAGAAATGTCACTGAGTCAATGATGCATAAAGCCAGCAGCCCTGTGGGAGTGACATCTGTGAACTGCCATAGGTGGATTTGTCTCAGGGAAGAGTCAGGAAAGCAACTTATGGCATGGGCTCAGGCCTATCCTAATCGATTTCCCCACGGTGACATTTCCTCTTGAACAGAAAATTTCCCACCTGGCTAATTCTGAGCCTGGCTGTGACATTCTGTCAACACAATTCGCTGCCTATATGACTCTTGCCTGGAATTAAAAAAGACCTAGGGCAGCTCTTCCCATTAGTATAGCTATTTCCATATTTTTTCCTTTTATGACAAATTTCTATAATCATGGTAGGTAGTCAATAGAAGATATGAACACAATATTAAATCTTTATCTAATAGGGACACATCTAAATTAATATAGTAAGATGCAAGTATGTAAGATTTAATTTATTCAGCCTGAAGTCACAGTCTTCTCTATGTCCTAAACAATTAAGTTTAAAATTACTTGGGTTTGTCATCTGCCTACTGACAGTTATATATTAAAGTGTAAGGTTAGGTCATTGAAATAAACTTCTATATAGAGCATTCTCTGAAATGCAAACAAATTACACAAGAATTACCTTAAATGTGTCCCTATATTTAGAGTGATTTAGAGCAGTGGTCTCTGTGGGTGTAATTTCTATTCATTTGAATATGGTTAATAATTGAACATGTTTTACTATAGACAACTCATTTGATACAATTTGGAATTGTTTAGTCTATTTACACATCCCATTCCAGATCTTTGGTTACAATTAAAGTGAAATAGGCATCTCTCAGATATATTCATTTGTGTGGCCATTAAACTTGGGCATAGAAATAATCTACTTACAAAGATTGTTGTTACCTATCTGTTCATGAACAGGATTAGATCCTTAGCAGCATCTCAGTCTCCTAAAGAAGAATGAATAGCTGGAGTGAGATTTATTTTTGAGAAAACAACAAGATTACATGATTATATATGTCACATGTAAATGATTCTAATGGTATACAAAGCCCTTGAATATGTTCTAATAAACAAGTTCTTAAAATTAGGTTTAGAATTTATACAGTTATCTCTTCCACATGGCAGGGTTTAGGGGCACAGCACCCCTGTGATCTGGAAAATCCACATAAAATTTTTAGGCCCGCCCTTCCTACTAGAAAAGAAGTCTGAATTTTTTCTTTCTTTTATGGTGGGATGTTTACAATATCTTATTGTAAATTTTGAGTTAAGAATTTGGTCATAGGTTCTTTATCATCTCCTGACCTTCACATGTCATTCCCATTTAATTTTTTATGCTGACCCCAGATACATCAAAACCATGATGGGGCAAGTCACAATACTGAAAGAATAGTTGTATATGCAAATACATGTCGTACCCTCTACATAAATCAGGCAGTTTAAGAGGATTAGTTAGGTTCTTATTTGAATTTCCTAAATATATCAACATAATAATTTGCTAATTTACATCACAGGGCAGTTATAGGTAATGAAAACTTAAATTCTCCAAAGTTTCAAGAGAAAGATGGGTTAATAAGACCAGAGCCATAAAGTTTGAGCTACTTTTCACCATGTGACTTATCTATCAGCAAAGCAAAATTAAAGTGATTGTATTAAATTATTTTGAAATCTATTTTGCAAAAGATTTTAACAGAAACACCCAGGAATCTCTACAAGTTACCTGAACCAGGTAAGCAGATCTGCTAGGAAAAGCTGCTCTGAGAATAGGCCCATTCCAGAACGCCTAAGAGGAGAGGTTTCCAGAAGACCAGATGGATGCATTAGGAGATATTTTCAGAAACCAGACAGCTGTGTGAGATGTCTGAGCCCAGAGATATAATGAACTGATGAAATGGACAGTGGGAATGGGTTACTAAGAAAGAGACTGAATGTTCATTCTTCCCTTTCCCTCCTTCCCAGGAGGCAATGTTTTTGTAAGGTCTGCTGACCAAAGGGACTGTCTGCAATGGTTCTTGTCAATGCATCCATGGGGTCAATCTTTCTCCTGCTTCCCCTTACACTACTCCCATCATGTTATAATACATAAGCCTCATATTTAATGATGAAATACCTTCATCATTAGTACCTTCAGATCTTTTTGTATCCTGGTAAGTTAATCCTGAATGCCATTTTATAATTGCCATATCAGTTATGACTCATTGAGGAAACTGTATTTCTCAGTGAATCAAAGGGGAGAATGAGGAAAATCAGTATTTTGCAGTGTCATTTAATAATCAATTTTACTTCATCATCCTATTCCCCATTTTGTCAAACCCTATTTCTCAGTCTAGCTCAAAAGTCTCTCCCATCCTGTAAAGGTATGGTTGGATAATGTAATTACTCTTAGCCCACCAGGGCATTTGCTAACTAACCAGTTTAAAGTGACTCTCACTTTTGTTTACCTGGAAAGAAAGAACCAGCTTGGGCTAGGAGACAACTCCACTGTCCTTGCTTTTTCTCATCAAAGTTAGGGGTAACTCGGTCTCCAAGTGGAAAACTAATGGGGGTGAGGGAGAATCCTGATTGCCGTGGTTCTGTTTTTGTAGCCAAGATTACTAGAAGCAGCTGAATCTCATGAAGAAATTACCATTCTTTAATTGTCAGAGAGAGGTAATCAGCCTGAAAACCAGCCCACGTTCCCCAGCTGCAAATATCATAAGGCTTTTCTGCTATCCTGACTCCCCTCCCTTTTGGGGTCTCAATAAATTTTTTTTCAATCCATTTGGGGTCACTGAAGGGAGACAGTATCACCATAGTTATGGTGTCACTAATAGTTATGCATGTCACTAATAAACTGTTATCTTGCCCAGAAATCTTGCCTCAATTTACCTTCATTGCAATTTTACTCACCAAATTGCCAAGAAGACTCCAGATGGAGTCACAAAGAGTTGGGTGCAACAGAAAAATGACTGAGTAAAATATTGAACATAATGAATATGGTATAGGGACTAGACTGTTGATTTAATTGATATAAAGAATTCCCATATCAGAAAATTCTTTCTACCAGTGCAGTTTGGCACCTTCCTACAATTTATACTCTTAGTGGATTGTCTAAAATGAAGGTTAAGAACTTCTTAAGCATTTATTGAGTACCCGCTATATGTCAGGTGAAGGCACACAAACACAAAGAATAAAACAATCCCTACTCACAAGGAGCTTACATTCTAATGGGGGAGACGTGTATATACATACATAAAATAAAGTGAATATGTAGAAATACATACTAAGTATATATCTATGATATATATGTGTGTACATCTATGTACATATATATGTATACATATATAAGGGGTCTACAAATCACCTAGGGTTGAGTGAATAGATTTCAGGAGGTCTGTGAACTTAGATAATCTTTATTTTCACTAACCCCAAACTGAAATTTGTCATTTCCTTCAATTATGAATTTTTAAAAAAATACAGTTCTGAGAAGAGGCCCATAGGCTTCCCCAGACTGCTAAAGAAGTCTATGACCAAAAAGAAAGAAAGAAAAGAAAAAGATAAGGAACTCCTAGCCTAGAGACCCAAAAAGGTTGAGAGACATGCCCAAGGTCACAAAGATAGCATGTGCTAGAGGCAAGACTTGAACGCAGGACTTCCTGGCTCTCAGGCCAGGTCATGTTCACTATCATTTGTGCCTTCAACAAATGTGAGCACATATAAAGAACAACAGCAACGACAACAACAACAACAAAAAAGGATTCCATATGAAACCATGAACTTCTATTATATACAGTTTGTCTTTTTAGAGAGTATATGTTAAATTCAATAAATTAATAATAAGTTGCCCTGTTTGATTGTGCTGCCTTCTGGATAGTATAGAAACATGGTGAAATGTAAAAATTTATTAACAGTATTTATATTCTGATGAGGCTTAAATTTTAACCTCCTTATAGACTGAATCTTGCTAATTCTGTCAATGCAATTTCCACTTAGCATTTAGCATTTTTACCATTTATTATTTATATTTAGTTTTCAGCATTCACTTCTACAAGATTTTGATTTCCAAATTTTCTCATTTCTCCCCTCCCCCCACCCCAAGATGGCATGCATTCTGAATGCTCCTTCCCCTAATCTGCCCTCCCTTCTCTTATTCCCTTCCCCTTCTATTTTCCTATGGTGCAGGATAGGTTTCTATATCCCATTGCCTGTATAGCTTATTTCCCAGTTGCATGTGAAAACAATTTTTAACACTTGTTTTTAAAACTTTAGGTTCCAAATTTTCTCCCTTCCTCCCTCCCCACCTACTCTCATTGAGAAGGCAAGCAACTCAATACAGGTTATACGTGTGTAGTCATGTAAAACATTTCCATAATAGTCATGTTGTGAAAAACTAACTATATTTCCCATATTCTTATCCCACCCCCTATTTATTCTCTCTTTTGACCCTGTCCCTCCTCAGAAGTGTTTGCTTCTGATTACCCCCTCCCCCAATCTACCCTCCCTTCTATGACCCCCTCCCTTTCTTATCCCCTTCCCTGCCCATTTTCCTATTGGGTAAGATAGATTTCCATATCCAATTGAGCGTGTATATTATTCCCTACTTAAGCCAAATCTAATGAGAGTTAGAGTCAATCATTCCCTCTCACCTTCCCCCACTTCCCCTCCACTGTAAAAACTTTTCCTTGTCTGTTTTATGTAAGATAATTTACCCCATTCTACCTCTCCCTTTCTCCTTCTCCCAGTGTAATCCTCTCTTACCCCTTAATTTTGTTCTCCAGATATCATCCCTGCATCTTCAACTCATCTTGTGCCCTCTATCTATCTATCCATATACTTTTTTCCTTCCAACCACCCTAATACTGACAAAGGTCTCATGAATTACAAATATCATCTTTCCATGTAGGAATGTAAACAGTACAACTTTAATAAGTGCCTTATGATTTCTCTTTCCTGTTTACCTTTTCATGGTTCTCTTGAGTCTTGTATTTGAAAGTCAGATTTTCTATTCAGCTTTGATCTCTTCATCAAGAATGCTTGAAAGTCCTCTGAATATCCATTTTTTCCCCTGAAGGATTATGCTCAGTTTTTCGGGGTAGGTGATTCTTGGTTGTAATCCTAGCTTCTTTGACCTCCAGAATATCATATTCCAAGCCCTCTAGTCCCTTAATGTAGAAGCTGCTAAATCTTGTGTTATCCTGATTATGTTTCCACAATACTTGAATTGTTTCTTTTTGGCTGCTTGCAATATTTTCTCCTTGACCTGGGAACTCTGGAATTTGGCTATAACATTCCTAGCAGTTTTCCTTTGGGAGGTGATCAGTGGATTCTTTCAATTTCTATTTTGCCCTCTGGTTCTAGACTATTAGGGCTGTGCCAGGACTGGGCCAGACTGAGTTGTTCTCTTACCATGGTCAGAAGACTTTTCCTAGTGACCTTCTAATTTGTCTTTAGTGTTTGTGGGTTGAGAAGTCTGGAAACCACCATAGCTACCCATGATTCAGTCCCTTGAGGCCTGCTCCAGGTTTTCTGAGGCACCCATGCTGAACTGTGTTCCTCTCCCAACCTGGCACAATAGACCTTTCCAATCAACCATCCAGGTTGTCTTGAGCTGGAAATTCGTTTCACTCTGACTTTTTGTGGGTTCTACTGCTGCAGAATTTGCTTAGAGCCATTTTTTACAGGTATTTGGAGGGGTTTGGGGGGAGAGCTCAAGCAAGTCACTGCTTTTATTCTGCCATCTTGGCTCTGCCCCCAGCATTTAGCATTTCTTTCTGTGCAGGGACAAATTACTTGTCCCATATTGATTCATATGGTACACTGGACACTTTTCTTCCTCTACCTTTTGGAGAGATCTAGCCATGAACTTTCTAAAGCAATTCATAACTAAGTCTAAAGCAATTTTACTCTGGCATACTAGAGTAGAGGATTTAACAAATTGAAGAATGTGAAAATATGGAGCCTAATCCCCATA